TGTGTGCTGCTCCCTCTGGGAGGAGAGGCCTTGCTGTTCATTCACAGAGATTCCCATGAACCAGGTGCAACTTACGTGCCCTGGAAACCCAGCAAGAGACAGCAGTGAATTGAGGTTTACACAAAATTAAAATCAGCCATGACCAAATACTTTAAAATGGTTTTTGCTACCAGCTCCCTCCCCACCAGATCAAGGCCAGCGCTTGTGGGCCTAGTGAGTTCACAGCTGGCCTGAGAATTCTAGCACCCTTACAGTCTCCAGGATTGGCGAGAACAGGTTCAGGTTCACAGTGAGAGTCCACAGGCAGCACAGGTTGTACTGGTACCAGTCCCCTAGGCAGGCATTCAGCAAACCCAGAGAGGCCCCTGGAAAAGCCCTTTAAATGATTCAAAGCCTGGCTTAGCGACATTAAAAGCAAAATGGTTACCCTAAGATTTGGAGGTATCATTGTAGTTTTAAAACAAAATTTACATGTTTGTTACTGAAAGAAAAATTCACCAAGGCAAGCATAGTGAGCATATTTGAATATATTTTGAGAATAATATCATTAAAATGTGATATGCTTTGTAATTTGTTAGGATGTCACTACTTTGACATATATCCAGTATTAGCATTTGCATCATGGCAGATTAAACCCACAGAATCTGAACTCTCCTGCCTTCCTCCCCAGAGTCACTACATAAATTGAGTTATAAAACACAGGAATTCAGAAATCAGATAGCAAAGGTATAAAATACACAAAAGAAACTTGGTTATGGCATTTGAATTTTCTGAGAAGTCTCAAGGCGTTCATCAAGTCAGCCAGCTCCACACAATCCACAGAAGTGTCTTATCATCAACAACAAAGACAGGTTCATTGTCACGTACTCCATATAAAAGCAAAGCTCCAGAAAGCACTATATTTCAAAGGATGTGCAATTGCTTTATTTTAATGTGGTTATCTTATTACCCATACTCTGATGCTTACATTTTGTTTGAGCATTTCATTAAATTAATAACCCACTGGAAGGAAAGAGCTGCAGCTAATATTTTGTTAAGGTTAATAGGGAGGGCTTTAATTATCAGGTTAATCCACTGTGCCTCAAACCCAGGTGTGGGCAAGCCAAGGAGAATGACAAATCAGAACCAATGAATCAGCCACACTGTGAACTAATTACAAACCTTGTTCAAGTCATTTAGCATCTCTGAGTTTCAATCTCTTCATACAAAGGTCTGACAATTAAGTTCACAAACTCATCCTAGAACAAGTGCTACATACCTCATTGCTGAATATCACTATGGTCACCTTCGAAGTACTCCCCTTTGCCAGCACTGATGCCAGCACCTAGTCCACCCTTCAAAGCAATTTTGGAACTCTTTTTCTGGAATGGCCATCAGAGTTGTTGTCATATTGCACTTGATGTCCTGAATGTCATCAAACTATATTCCTTTCAATATTTCCTTTATCTTCAGGTAAAGAAAGAAGTCATTGGGGCCAGGTCAGGTGAATAGGGAGGATGTTCCAATACAGTTATTTGTTTACTGGCTAAAAACTCCCTCACAGACAGTGTCCTGTGGGTTGGTGCATTGTTGTGATGCAAGAGCGATGAATTGTTGGCGAAAAGTTCAGGTCGTCTAACTTTTTCACGTAGCCTTTTCAACATTTCCAAATAGTAAACTTGGTTAACTGTTTGTCCAGTTGGTACAAATTCATAATGAATAA